TATTAAAAGTATATGAAATAGGGGTAGAATTTCCCGGGGAATGTAGAGGTAGAGTGTATAGTTTTATTACCGATTTTCTGGAAACCGGTTTTTTTAATTTTTCTAATTTTTCGAGAAATAATTGACCGAATTTTAACTAGAAGTATATGAAATAGGGGTAGAATTTTCCAGGGAGAACTATAAAGTGTATAATTTTTTGTTACCGAGATCATAGCAAATAAAAAAAGGCTACAAACTGTTTTTTTATTATAATAGTAAAGAATTTTACATAAAACAGGGGTAGAAGTTTCGAGACTAAATAAGTTGTTAAATTCACATGTTAAATATTAATCAATTAATCAATATCGAAAGTCGCTTTCAGAAAATAATTGATCGAATCTTCTGTGGTGTTATTTTTTGACTCGGTATTTATTCTTTTTGAATAGAGAATAAATAAGTTGTTAAATTTACATATTAAATAAAACAGGGGTAGAATTTTCGAGACTAAAATAAGTTGTTAAATTCACATGTTAAATGTTAATCAATTAATCAGTATCGAAAGTCGTTTTCGGAAAATAAATTGATCAAATCTTCCTGTGGTGTTATTTTTTGACCCGGTATTTATTCTTTTTGAGTAGAGAATAAATAAGTTGATAAATTCACATATTAAAAATGGAGAGAGGGAGAGAGGGGGAGAGGGGAGAAGGAGGGAGGGAGGGAGAGAGGGAGGGAGAGAGGGGGAGAGAGAGAGAGAGAGAGAGAGAGAGAGAGAGAGAGAGAGAGAGAGACTATTTGCGTGTCTTAATACACATGTTCTCCGGGGCGGAGCCCGGCGCGGCGGGGCATGCTAGTTAAATAATAATAGAAAATGTTAATTTTACGTGTTACCTTCTGATGTGTTTTCATTTATTTGGTTCAATTGTTCCTCATATACTTTATCTTTAATTTCAATTTTCATGAGAGCATGTATTTTTCGTGAAAACTCTGGCCATTCATTGTATATAGAAAGTATGTTTCCGAATTGTGCAGTATAATCAGATTCAATCTGTAAAAATTGTTAAAAATGATCAGTCACATGGGTTCTACGAACTTTTCAAAATAAAACTGCTGCTGTTAAAATATTCACCAATTTGTAACCCTGCGGATGTTTTAAAATTGGCCATTTCGTAAAAATGAGATGAACATTTCCATCCTTGTGTGTAGTCATATCCATTATTCTAGCAAGTCGATTTGCCTCCCAATGTTCAACAACATCGGTCCATGGTTCCTGATTATATTTTAACCATTGCAGATGAGGTTCGCACAATTTTAAACCTACACATATAATATGTATTTTTCATTTTATAGTAAATATTTCATATGTATAGTAACTTTTATTTATTTATTTTTCCAAAAGAAATAGTTA